GTCGTTTCAAGCCTAATTCAGCTACAGTCCTCCAATTCACAATCCAGACATGCCCCTAAGTCTAAAATCACCCAATGGAGATAACGGAATCGACGAAACTCCATTCCGGAGTCGTCTTTGCAGTTCCAACTACAGTTAAAATCCTAGGATTTAAGCTTCTATTTTAGGGACTAAGTGTCCCAAAACACTCCGAAATAAAAAACAGAACCTCCAACAAGTCACATAACCAAAAAAAAGATACGGGGAAAGCAGTAAATAGGGGATCGGGGCTAATACACTCAAAACAACCGGCCGGATCGTTACATCAGCATCGGGACAATAAAAAGAAGATTGGTATTATCTTAAATTATTTTACTTTTCTAAGTATAACAATTCTATTTATTAACTAAATTAATTTATTTTTAGGAAAAGAAGTATGGGCATCCAATGATCCATGATGAGCTATTCAAGGAGACGCATATTTTAAAGTAGAAGAAAGAGGAGGATGGGATAGGTGGGTCGAGGACCGGGCAGAGACTGCATATGTAAGCTTTCAATTTCCTTTACGTGTTATAATTTACTTTTATAAGAATTTTTAAATACTAATTTAATTTAAAATAATGTAGGGTCGCTACCAAGGTAACGTGGAGGAATTTATTCTTAGTTAGCCAGCTGGTGAATCGGGCGAGCCAACCGAACCTTCGGACGAGGATGCTGAAAGAATATTGTTGGAGGTTGTTGCGGTCCAAAATGGGGGAAGGTATACAGGCTTCCTGCGAAAAAAATTCCATCGCTATAGGTGTGGAATGCAAGGAATAGGGACTTCCTCACAGGGCGAGAAACTTAATAGGGAGAGACTCTTGGCTATGCGGGAGATAGTGACAAACCTTACATCCGAGCTAGAAGCGGCCAAGGAAAGAGAAAGGCTTAGAGATGCTCAATTCCTTGGTATGCAAGCTCAGATCAGAACTCTCCTTGATCTACTGGAGCTTTTCCGTTGCCCCGGTCTCGTGAGTCATCGTCAGAGGCTCGACCTCCACGTAATCGTTCCTCCCATCCTCCTCGTATCATTCCTCCCGTCCTCCCTGCGATCGTTCTTCCCGTCCTCCACAAGACTATTCTCTATACCGTCTTGTAGATGAGAGTTCATCAGATGGTGATGATATTGTAGAAAATACCCCTTGACCAATACTTTGATATACTTTGAACTAGACTAATAGAACTAGTTTTGAATTAGATTGAACAATTTTGAACTTGTTGTAATTAGTTTTTGCTTGGTTTTGGACTGTGATGTTCAATTGAACTTTAATTTGTTAGTTTTAAATACTAATTGGATTTTGGTTATTGTTGTTGTTGTTGTTATTGTTGGATATTTGGTTGGATTTGTGGTGAATTAGGGGTTGTATGTGGTGAATTGGTGGTTATTAGATGTGAATTGGGAGTATTGGTATGTTGTTTTTATTTGGCAGGTGGTGTAGCTACCAAAACATGTATTTTCTGCCAAAATTAAACCTAGAAAACCGACCAACCTTGGTCGGTAACTAATAAAAATAATTTTAAATTTCACGTTACCAACCACTGTTGGTCGGTTAATGTACAATGAATTCCCAGAAATTCAATATTACCGACCAAATTTGGTCGGCTCGTTGCCTGCCCTGCCCAGTTTACCGACCAAAGTTGGCCGATATTTTTAAATTTAATTATTTAAAAAGAAATATATTTTCCAGTACCGACCAAAGTTGATCGGTATTTTTAAATTTTAGTTATTTGTAAAAAAAAATATATTTTTCAATACCGACCAAAATTGATCAGTAAGCAAAATTAATAAATTTAATACACCGAATAAGTTTGGTCGGTAAAATTAAATTATTAAAATAACATTCCGACCAATTTTGGTCGGTAATTAAGTCAATTAAATTGTCAGATGGTCGTGTAGAGCATATCAGTAATTCCCGACCGACTTTGGTCGGTATGCTCTTCCGACCTTCAAAATACCGACCACACGCTAATGGTCGCTTTTTGGATGATTATTAGCCATTCCCGGCCTATTTTAGTCGATTTTTGTGGACGGTTTTTCGCGAATTTATAGTAGTGTCAATCGATAAGTTCCTTGTATACATGAATATGCCATCTAGAGTGTTTGAACACAAATTTTAAATTTTTGGCACATTTATATAAGGGAAGACCTCGGAAGTGTATATGTTTGCAATTTCAAAGACTGACCACCTTGACTAGGTTTTAATTATTTTAATTAATTAATGGGCAGGTTACCTGCTTCTTTAGCTAATGCTAAACAAGTAATTTCCAACAGTGACGTTCAAACTAATCTCTCTTACGTACGTACTCCATTTTCATTAAAACACTTCTCTAATACTATTACTAGTACTTTGGTTAATTTAATTAAATTACATTAGCTTTAGTGTGCTACTAAAGGTCATCTGTTCACCAGCAAATTAATAATTGTTTCATTGTTTAATCAGGAATCACTGACCACACCAAACACTGACCTAATTAATTATTAATTAATCCTCAAAGCACCATTAATAAAGTGATAGAAACCCCTCAGTTTAATTGTCTAATAAATATTCCATTATTGTGCCAACTGTAGCAGCACCCAAACAAACACTGATTTTTCTTTTTTCAATTTCTTCATTTATTTAATCCTTTTCATGTTCTACGGCATATGGTACCTTTTTCTGTATAGTTGAATAAAAAGTTATACATTAGAGTCGAAGTCAGGATTTGAAATTTACTGGATCTAAATCTAATCATTTAATTTACTGAAATATAAATTTATAATTTATACATATTTAATAATTTTCTTAGGATAAATACAGTTATAACGATTGAGTTCGACCGAACGTGTAACCTAAACTCTAGCTCTACCTATACATCGTGGATGAAACATCATGATGTTATTATGGGTATGAGAAAAGTGCCACGCCAAATAAGAAGAAACTCTTCTTTGATTGGTGAAAATCCTCAAATAACGAATGCTTTATATATATATATATATATATATATATATATATATATATATATATATATATATATATATATATATATATATATATATNATATATACTAAAAAACTGAGATTAGCTATGAACTGCATCGTTAATCGGTCGCTAAATCGCTCATGCTAATAAATTTTTTTATAATCTATTGCTAACCCATTGTTAAGTAGGATTATTAACGAATTTTTCTGTTAGCTACAGAATTTGCTCGTCGCTAATTCCTATTTTTTTTAGTAGTGTATATATATCGTTTTTTTAAATCGACAAGACTGTAGCTGTATATTTTTGACATGTCTCTTGCAGTTTTTTTCTTTTAAAAAGGAATTGAATGATTTATCTTTAACGAAATCGACGGATTTGCTTGAGCAATTAAAGGCTTTATTATTGTTATTTTAATATAGTTTATATTTTTCTGACCTAGTTAAAAAGTCTTGACTGACGATGGTACCATTTTCATCTTTTCCTCTGAAAGAAAATATCTTCCTTGAACTTGTTGTATTTCATTTTGACAAAATTAAAGTTTCCAATTTCTTTCACATAATATTCTCCAGGCTGTTCATTAATTGAATATCTCATTATGTTTTAAAAACCAACTTTACACAGTTACCCAACAATTTTCTTCAAATATCATGGAGTTGACCATTAATATACACTTAATCCTAAGAATTTAACTTATTCTATGCACCAAACTTTGTGTAATAATTTTATACTATTAATGGATTTAACTTGATATAATAGCCTAACAACTTGTTTGGATGGTTGTTACATGTCGTTTTACAATGTATCGTATTGTATTGTTTGATGAATACAAGATTGTATCGTTTGCGTCGTTTCAAGATATCACGCACCAAAAATATGAAGAATAAACTTGCAACCTTACTAAGAAAAAATAGGATACGAGTAGAATTATGAAAAGTAGGGTAAATGATAAAATATATTTATTTAATAATAAAGAAGGGCAAAATGAGAGAAAAATTAGGTAACGACGCCACCACTCCAAATCCGTCGTTACATAAACTAGCACTTTTCATCGTTACATAACGACGGATTTAACGATACGATACAATAAAATTTAAGTAACAATCAAAACAAACATTATATTTAAAGTAACAATACGATACAATACAATATGTAACAACCATCCAAACAAGCTGTAAGTAGCTGGTCATCTGAATTATTTGTCATGTTACTAATCTTATTTTACAACATTATCTTTTAAATAACCTGATAATATAAAAAATAAAAATTACTTTCGATGTATAAAAATTAAACTTGAATTCTAATCACATGCAAAGTAAAACCGTTTGCCCAACATGAAGCTAGTGAAATTAAGTAATCAAAATTGCAAGCTCTGTCGAATGCTCTTAGCTCAAAAGTATGTGACTTCAGTTGCCTTTGAATAGTCTACTGACTACCATCGACGAGTGTAAGTGGGATGAATAGATGAGTTACTTCCGCTTTTAATTAGAGATCTTGGATTTACACCATAGAACTAATTAAAAAAATTCGTGATAAGGAGCGCTTTTCCTTTTAATGGAACGAAAATTCGTATTAGCCGGACTTAGTGGTGGCAAAATAGAAAAGAAAAAAAGTTATCCACCATATGATCATCCATTAAAAAATAAGTTGGGTAATGAACTTTTTAAAAATGGGTCGAATATGAATAAGAGCCATATTATCCACTTAGAAAATGGATAACTAATGGGTTTAACTTTTACATTTGTAAAGACTCAAATTGGGAGATTAGAAATTCTCCCAAAAGTGATCATATTCAAGAAGCCATGGATAATATGGATATCCATATTTTTCGCCGGTTAACCTGTTTTTTATCCGTTTAAATATATGTCGGGTCGGATAATGTATCCGTTTTGCATTACCCGTTTTGACCCGCCCACCTCCAATCCGACCCGCGCATTTGCCCACCCCTAGTTGGATTAGTGAGTTCCAAGAATACCAGATGGTTAAAGAAAAATAGCCTACTAACTATGGTTAAAAAAAATAGTGTATAGTAACTATTAAAGGCTAGGTTAAATTGAAGAGACATGAATGTACAAGATTGAGTGTGTACATGCATGTATCAAGGATATGTATACAAAAAGCTGTGACCTGTATCTTTCACTTGAATCTTTTGTGTTCCAATCCTTAAACATGATAATGTCAATCCTATGAAAATATAATAATAAAGAAAAGGAACAGAATAATAGGATGATCTCTTATATAGATAGGTATAGCTATATGGGAGCCATTTATTGTCAAACTGACAAAAGAAGACAGGTTTTTGTCATAAGATCCAGAAATTCAGATCTAGAATAGGGAGAGAGAGCCACACTATACTCCACATTCTTCTAGTTGGTCCTGCTCCTCCTCCTGCTGCATCAAAAGCACCATCTCTCCATGAATTCAGCAAACTCTATTTCCTAAGATTCTCTCTTCACTCCTAGTCAAAATTACAATATCAAACACTTGATTTTTTATTTAACACAATAAGAAATTAAATTTTAAAAAAAAAAAACTAACATGAATAATGCAGTTGCTACTTGCAGGCAATGGCGGAGCCACATAGCTTCCAGGGGTATAAAAAAATTATTTTTTCATGTATATATATTATGAATTGAATCCTCCTGACTTATTCGTGAATTACTTCTTTAAATTATTCACACTACTTGTAAAAATTACTCTATATCAAACAATAGACATTTTTTAATTTAATACAATAAGAAATTAAATACAGAAAATTCAACATGAATAGTTAGTTGCTACGTACTTGCAGGAAAATAGACTTGTTACACAATGTTTCGGTACTAAATGAGAAGGCAAGAATCTTGTTTGAATTTATTTATATTTATAATATAAATAAACCACATCAATTAGATTAGGTAGCACCCTTATTATACATTATGACTTTTTTTATTGCAGTTAACTCGGTTGCCGTGAGTGAGACTTTGAAATAATTTTTTTTTAAGAATCTTTATCCTTTAAAAGTATCTATTATTTTTTATGTAGTAGATGTGAATATTATTGTCTCATATACCTAGATTTAAACCTAAATAAATCCTTAGGGGTCGTTTGGTTTGAATACGGGTTATGCTGGGATTAGTTATCATGGTATTGTTTTCTATCCATTGTTTGGTATGTTGTATTAAAAATGACATTTGCATAATTTCTAAGAAGAAGGTATAAGTTATCCCGCCACTAATTACCCTACACCCTATAAGGTATAAGTTATCTCGGTACTAATTTCAATCCCGGGATAACTTATAGCAGGTTTGCTAACCAAACAAAGTATTTAGGTGGTATTAAATCTTTATACCGGCACTATATCTACTTATATCTCATACCAAACGACCCCTTAGATTTCAAATAACAATAAAAGAGAAGAAAAACACAGAACGAGTGAACAATTAAGTCGAACACCTTGATTGATGGAGTACTAGGAGGAAAAAAAGTACATCCAAAGAACAATTAAAACATAGGGAAAAGGAAAAAATAAAAAGAGGAACCCTAAAATGCTACTCCTATGTGGAGAGTGAAGAGCAATGGTGAGAACTTTTATTGTGGAGATTAGTATACCACATAGAAAATAATTATAAAGGAGAGATACATTTAGCTCTAGGTAGGGAAGGAATTAAACTTAATGATTTGATGTGTGAATATTACACAAATAATTTTCTCTATCAATAGAAAACCCAAGAATGTGATGAGAAGAAATAGAACGAAATCGAAGTAGGGAACAGCTAATTCATGTTGATTAATAAATTCTTCCTTATTTCGAATGTTGAATCAAATAATTCAAGAAGAAAAATATACACAAAATAAAACCTCAAAATACTTTTGTCATCCTCCCATTTTCTGGAATTACTTGAGAAGGAAAAGTTATTGAGTTGCTGTGTGAATTTTCTCACAACTTTTGAGACTTGATGAGAAGAAAATCGAAGTAAGAGAAGCTATACCTCATGTAAAGTCAAACCAAAATTCAAGGAGAAAATATAGACAAATAATAAATACCTCAAATTACGTTTGTTTATCTTGTGCGCGCTTCACCATTTTTACCATACACATAATAATTAAAAGGAATCAAGAAATTAACTCTAAGTTCTCACACTTCTTCTTTTTTTCCCTTGAATTATTGTTGTTATCATTACCTCTAATTAAAAAGGTGGACGGCCATGAGCCCAAGCAAATGCTTCATGGTTCAATTGTCCACCATTTGGTAGCAAATTTGGTGGCAAGTTATATACTGGCATATTTGAAGATGGATCTCCCATACCACCACCGCCACCACCTTGTTGTTGGGCCCCTCCACCACCACTACCTCCCATTCCCGGCGGTGATCCTCCACCACCACCACCTCCAAGCTGCCCTTGTGCCGCCTGTCCACTGCCTTCTTCCTCCTCCTCCAACGGCAGCCTCTCGTATGTAGCATTAGAAAACGTTGATGCAATCACCATAACAGGTCCTGATGCTACTAATGGCCCTACTACACTCCCCCCTACAACTTGTCCTTGTCCTCCGGCTAAGTATATAGTCAAACCTGTATTAAACGGTTCAAACTTTTAGATGAAATAGTCACATAATTAATTATATATAGTATCAAACAGACAAGAGGTGTACTGGGACATAACATAATTAAGTATTATAATTAAATGTGTGCGGTTGTACAATTCAATATGAAATTAGAGTAGACAAGAGACTTGGAGACATAATTTTTAACAGATGAGATAACAACCTGTTGATCCAGGAGGAGCTGGTCCAGGAAGGAAAGCACCGGTCAACGATAAGATCTCGAAACGGCCGTGTAACGCCATGACAGCACTACCAGGAGCAGAAGGTTGCCTTAGGGTTACATTCGTTACAGTTCCAGTAGCACTCAAAACACAAACACCTCTTTGTCTTTTTCTAGCAAACTGAGCTATGCTTTCAGCTACATCTGCACCATTTGCAACTTCCATAACGTGACTTCTCAGCGCGTTAGGGCTATCCCTAGTCACGAAAATGGGCGGTTTCGGCTTGTTTTTTGAGCCAGCTGGTCGACCTCTGGGTCGACGAGTGGCTCCCTCAACTGCGCCCTCTTTAGGGTCGTCGCTATGATCTCTTTCTTCGTCGTGACTTCCACTTCCCCCGCTGTTGTCGTTCATAGAAACCCCCAGATCTGGTTTTTTATTGAGTGCCGGCGAGCCAGTTGAGGATGATGTCTCAACTCCTGATAAACCTACTTGGCCTGTCCACCATGGGTTTGCCATATTTTTAGTTTGTTACAATCTCAAAGATGGGGTTTTCAAGTGAAAAATAATACTAAAGTTCTAATAAAAAAACTTGGAATTTTCTATGTTATGTGAAATTTCAAGATTTTGAGACAAAAGGGTTTTTTGTTATATTTTATAGTATACAAAATGAGCAAGAGATAAGGATGAATAAGGAGATTGATAAATTCAACAAGGATCTAAGCAAAGAGCTAGAGAGATGATCATGAGAAAAAGAGAAGGGAGAGAGATGAGGAATAGAGAGAAAGGAGAGAGTGATGATGATAATTAAGGAACAAGAAGAAAGAGTTAAGCTTTGTGGGTTCCTCTTTATATTTTTTTAAGCTTTGATTTATAATTATATTCGTTTTTTTTTTGTGGGGGTGGGGCAGACATAGGTATCTTTATACAAATAACCAGTTGTGTTCACTGTTTGTTGTTTTATCTACTTATATATACATGATTATACACATATTATATACGAATTATACATATATTGTACATTTGCTGATAATTTTTACGCTAATTATGGGATTCAAAATAATGAAAAAAATTAAAAGAGATTGTGGCCAATGAAAATTGAACCAGCAACCTTATAAATGTTTTGAACCCTGTTAGGAGAATACAAAATATGAAATATAGAGGTACAAACTAGATTTTGCCTTACATATACAGTGTAATTTTTCGACGAAGAGCGTTCGAGTGAACCCCTTCGGCCCCTAAATCCGCCCCTGGGTGGGAGATGGGGTGGGTGGAGGCTGTCACAAGTCACAAACACACAAAGATACACAAATTAGAATTATGTCAAAGGGTGAAATGGTAGTAGCTATAATTCTCAAAGCTAAAGAGTGATCTTGAGAAATGAGAAATGGGAAAGAGAGCTGGAGAGATAAGGGGTCTCTTGGAAATTAGGGTTTGGTGCGTGGGGTCTTGTGCGCGTGAGGTAGTGGGTTGCACGTTCTCTCTTGCCCCCAAGATAGTATAAACATATTTGTTTGTACATACATTAGTTTATGTTTTGTGCATGTTGACCGTATAATTTCTTTAAAATTGTGCTAAGTAGACCTATAATATATGCTCTATCTCTTTCAATTTATGTGATAGGATTTAAATAAATATGAAGTTTTGAAGAAAAAAAGTTTTTTTAATTTTTGAAATTTATGGTCATAACTAATGTTGTCACAATATTTCTGTGTTTATAAAGACTTTTGAAACTTTATCTTAAAATATTTCATTATATTTGCTTGACTATAAAAATTTTTCATTAAGGATGATATAAAAGCTTATCTTTAATCGTTTCTAAATTTTATTTGAAAGTTATCATTCTTTTCGAAATGGACTAAAGAATATTGCCATATAAATTGAAACCGGGAATATATTATAGGTAATTTTTGCAACTGAACTGCTTTGCTAGTAAAAAGAGTTCTTACATTATCTGTAAGTAATATGTATAATTTAAAAACATCATGCATATTACATATAACTATAGAGAAGTGTGCATGATGAGATGTCAATGTGATATTCCTTTCATCATTAGCTTGAAGTATCGGACTCGAAGTCCATATATAAATGGATAACCTTTTTGATATAGAGAGCATTTTATCCTCTTAGTGAGTCTACCTAACTGCAAATATTCATCATGCCGATGAGCTATAACATACATAAGAATTTGTGCATCTTCCGTTGTATGCATCAAAATTATTGCGCACACACACTAAACTTTGTGTACAAAGAAAAGTGTTAAATGATGAGGGGAAAAAAGAACCACAAACAAATAGCAGAAGTAATATATTACAGATTGAAAAATAACCGAGTGTGAACATCTCATATTCAAATTTAAGCAGTTAGAGAGAATATATTTTAATTTACTTAAATTATGTCTTTAACATTAGTATTTACTTAAATTATATTTTCAACAGTAAATAATTTATTAGTTTTCATAGATCGAGCTCTAGGTCTACTCTAACGGGGACTTGAGAGAGAAAGAAGATCAGAGAAAATAAGTGTGCAATTACAGAATTAGGAAATGAAGAATAATGAGCTCAATTCTGTATTGAATAAATAGCTAATGTGTATATACAATGTGTAACTGCTTCTAACCGACTAACTAACACAACCATAATTAACTAATAACTAATCTACACTAACTCTAGTTCATTTAACTTCACGTAATTTCATTCTCAACTCTCCCCCTCAAGCTGGTAGGTGTGAAAATATTGAGCACTCCCAGCTTGAAAAATAAGTATTCATCACATGATCTCAAAAGTGCTTTGGTTAGTTAATCCTTAGAATTCACATGTTGTGTCTTGATCAATCCTTGTTGAATCTTATCTCTTATGAAGTGACAATCTATTTTTATATGCTTAGTTCTTTCATGATATACTGGATTAGCTGCAGTTTTTAGTGCTGCCTTGCTATCACAGAATAGATCAATTGGCAATTTCACCTTTGTTCCAAGTTCATTGAATAAACTTGTCAACCAAGCTAGTTCAGCAACTGTCCAGGCCATACTTCTGTACTTTGCTTCAATTGAGCTTCTAGAGATTGTATTTTGCTTCTTTGACTTCCATGATATGAGCGAATTTCCATGCTTAATGAGAAATTCAGTCACTGACTTCCTTGTGTTGGGGCATGATGCACTGTCTGCATCACAATAAGCAGCTAGTACATTGTCCTTCTCACTACTCATCAAAATACCCAACCCTTGGATCCTTTTTTATGTATCTTACTACTCTCAATGCAGCTTCCCAATGACTTCTTTTGGATAAACTGGCTCAATGTTTGAACTTCAAATGCAATGTCTATTCTAGTTAGAGTTAGATATAGCAATTTACAATAAGTCTCTGATACTTTCCTTTGTCTTCTAAGATGTCATCACCTTCTGCTCCTGTAACTTTATCCAACCTTTTATTAATGAGTTTTTGATTGTATTCCAGTAGAGTGTAGGCTGGTTTGGATGCACTCGGTCCTAAATCTCCAATGCGTTCCAATGCATACTTTCTTTGGTTCATTAAGATTCCTCTCCTTGACCTACTATACTCAATTCCCAGAAAGTATTTTAACTCTCCAATGTCTTTTATGTTGGATGTTGCATGCAATTTCTCATTAGTTGTTTCTATGATCTTGAGGTTGTTTTCAGTGATCAACATGTCATCAACATATACTAGGATGATCACAATATTGCTTTCCTGCTTTTGTGTGAACAAAGAGTAATCTAGACTGCTTTGTGTAAATCCTTGTGATTGTAAAGCTTATGTTAATTTTACATTCCATTGTCAACTTGCTTGTTTTAACCCATAAAAGGATTTGACAATCCTGCATACTGTATTCTCCCCCTAGATTGCAAAGCCCTTTGTAAATCGCATGTAGACCTTATTTGGTAGAACCTTGAAGAAAGGCATTGTATACATCCATCTGATGTACATGCCATCCTTCTGTTGTAGCAATTGAAAGCACAGATCTCACAGTCACAATCTTCACAACCGGAGAGAATATTTAATTATAATCAATACCCTCTTGTTGATTATAGCCCTTAGCAACAAGCCTTGCCTTATAACTCTCTATTGATCCATCAGCCTTGTACTTGACTATGAATACCCATTTACATTCAATAGGTATCTTCTCTAATGGTAGAGTAACCAGTTTCCACGTTCTGTTATCTGCTAGGGCCTGGATTTCTGCTTTCATTGCTTCCACCCAAAGTGGATCCATTCAAGCTTCCTAAAAGTTTCTAGGTTCCAGAACAAATGTGAAAGCAGCTAGGAACTGCTGGTAGTGAGGATGCATATGATCATAGCTGCTGAAATGTTGCATGGGATAAGGTGATGCAGGATCACAGTTGACATTGGCCGTTACATAGTCAGTCATCCAACCAGGAGTCTTTTTGTCCCTAGTTAATCTTCTCAAAGGTTCTGAATCAATAAAGGTGGATAGAATGGAAATTTCTGGACTGCCATCATGTTGTGGATGAGGATCATGAATGGCATCCGGTTGAAGGTCAATAGCTTGTAGTGGAACACCTACTTCTCCCTGTGTAAATTTTGCATTAGTGTTTGCTGAAGAAATTTCTTCTATCTCAGTATCAAAAGGTGCCAAATCAGGAAGCCAAGAAGAAATTGTGCCATCTTGAGAAAATAAAGGAGATTGATTATCCTTCTGATGTTTAAAAGGAAACATGGTTTCTCTAAATCTAACATCCTTGTTCACAAAGAAGGCATGATTAGTTAGGTCAAACAAATGTATCCTTTGATTACTTCTGAGTATCCCATCATGACTGATGCAATGGCTCTGGCATCAAATTTATCATGAGGATTTTGCCTCTTTGCAAAACAGAGGCATCCCAGTACTCTTAAGTGGTCCAAGCTAGGCCTTTTGTGATGAAAAATCTCATAAGGTGTTTTCCCTTGCAATGATACAGAAGGCATTCTATTGATTAGGTACGCTACTACTAACACACAATGACCCCAAAAATTTAAAGGAATTCCTCCTTGAAACCTCACAGCTCTTCCCACTTCTAGAATGTGTTTGTATTTTCTCTCAGCTACTCCATTTTGCTGAGGAGTATTGATAAGTGTGGATTTTGACCACTTATTAGTATCTTTTTACTTTTGTTTTAGTCCGCAAGTGTTGATTTATGTTCTCAAAACTAATGAAAGTGTGCAAATTACATAAATGTTGGAGATTTAGGCTCTTATGAATAAATCCGACTCAAAAAGGAGTGTTCCGAATCACAAGGAAAGAAGGGGTACAACAGACCAAAATTGCGGTCCACAGAAGTATTTCTGCGGCCGCACAAGTAAGTGCGGACAGCAGAATTCTCCTTGCAGTCGCAGATTTGTTGCTGAAAGCTCAGAGATAGAATGAAGAGAAATGCGGACCGCATACGATTTGTGCGGTCGCAGAACATGGTCGCACTAACAAAAATTCAAAAATTTAAGAGAGTTTGCAAAATGACCAAGACTTAAACCTTGCCTGAAGTGCGCACCGGCACATGAATTGTGCGGCCGCAGAAGCTGAATTGCAGCCGTAGAGCAAATTGTGTAACTGCAGAATCCATTCTCCTGCAAACTCAAGCAATGTGCGTACCGCACATGGAATTGTGCGGCCGTAGAACCTCCCGAGGGGCATTTTTTGTCAGTGAATTTTGAGCCATTATAAATAGACGGGAAACACATTTCTAAGTCAAGTATTGAAGTTTTCTTAGCTGTAGCCGTTGTAGTTTACTATTTTGGATAATTTTTGATTATTTTGAGACAAAACATCATAGTTTATCATTTTAATTTTATATTAAGGATTTAATTAGTATTTATTCTTTGTTTT